CAAGAATTAGGTAGTAAAGCAGATATTCGATGACAATACGTAACTGGCTTGGCTATCGGTTTCATGACTGCACGTCGGCGTTTGGGAATTTCTGTTTCTCAGCATCTTCCTTGTTTTGTTCTCAACAATAACAGGCAGTACAATGATAATGCAAAGATCAAACCATCTGGGAATTTGGCTTTAAAAAATCCAGCGGAATCAGGTTTTTAGGGGAAACAGACACAATTATCCTATATTCAAGGATGCCAAAACAAGTCAGAAATTGGACAGAATAAACGAGTTGATGTCACCTTAATGCAATGCTTTTTCGATTCATTCGCCGCACCACAAATTTTGAGCACCCCTCTCCAACACCTTGTTCTGTAGTTCTGGCTAATGGCTCTGAAAAATCTTTAGTCAGACGATTACCGCGTCTCCATTCGGGTCGAGGAGGCTCTCACAAATTCTGGATTTAAACATACAGTAATGCTGCCATATGTGTATATTCTCTAGCATTTAAAAGAAACACGGCATCTATGACAATTATTCTCTTGGTTTCTATCACCAATATTGTTTATGCATCATATCCATCGTAGCTGAGCTTTTATTTATGCTCAAAAATAGCCTTAGACTAAAGTAAATAATAACCTTGAAACTGTAATTTCAAAACAAGTTAACAGCACCGAAAAATCGAATTCGACCAACTGCTGCCAGTTTATTGAAACCTACTACTTTCAATAAGCACTATCAATATACAATCGCTACCTTTAGGTTTACTCTGAAGAAGTAACCGATCTGATCGTTCGACTCCAATTTGACCGATTTGTTATCTTTCAGGTCCAAGCGTGCTGCGACCTAAACCGTAAACTGTTACTTCAGAAACCATTGTGCTAAGGCAAATCAAGGTACTCTGTTTAACTCCTGCGTTATTTTCCGCTCCAATTCTTCGATTTGATCATGCACAGCTAAAACAAGAAAGAATGACAGGAGAAATCGACGTATGAATGTGAAGTATATGACACTGTATCATCACGAAGCGATCACAAATACCTCTTACAATTGGTCTTGTCAAACATATGATGATTTTCATTATTTCAAGCCTCAACGTAAGGTAATCAACATTAAATGAGTAAAGAAAGTTATGATTAACTGTATACCAGAGAAGAGGGAGAGATTCTCCTGTACCGTATGGAATACCGGAAACAGACCCCAGTATTCTTGGTAAACGCACTTATTCTGTTCTCGTCTAAATCAGTCAACCGCTGGCACCCTGTAGTCAAATTCGGTTCAGATTCAAGTTTAATAAGCAATAAGTCAGTGATGAAAAAACATTTCTAAGCATATTTACAAATATTGCCAGACGAAAAATCATCAACGACAATACATCTTGAGAGCAGATGTTCTAGCAAAAAAGCTTTCTAAGTAAGAGCAGAAAATCAACAACAGTACTTGCTTCAAATCTTTTACTGCAATAAGGTCAAAAGCCGCCTAGCACCTCAATAACTGCGGATAGTGCACCAATTTCAGATATGTGGGAATAAGCTGTGGCAAATAATGATACGCCAGCGACAGAAAGTGTAAAGATTTAACCGCCTGTTGGAGAAGGCTGGTGGAAAAATACTTTACGATAGCAGCGTGCAGTGAAGAGCACATGTTGTCATTAAATAAGCATGCTTCACAATTTCAAGAAGCCGCAGTGGGTGTCTAGTCTGATCGATTAGTGGAATTCCCGTAATCATAACCCATCCATAACTGCTGTTTCGAGTCCTTAGTAATCCGCAGTTTGGAAGCGTACTTCAGTTCAGTTTGGACGCGCATCGGTTCGAACTTAGAATTTTACAGCTCTCATGACTCGATCACTTCAAATGATCTGGTTCCTTAATGCACCGTGTTTCTCATGTCAAATGGGTAAACTGTAGCAATTCTATTCATATTTTTCATTATAACACTATTCGCTTGTTTAAATTTTACAGTCATTTATTATGTACCGAATCTATGATGAAAAGTAGAATTCTTTGGTCAAGCAGTAAATTACCATCTTTCTTTCACAGAAACAATGTGTCAGAAGCAGATGGCAGAAGTAGTGTATTTCTTTGTGACTGTCACCTTGAGTACTGTGCATAAGCAGGCCATCTTGGCTCTGTGATGTCCGTTGTATTCGCAACTTTACAGCACGACTTCTGCTATTAGGCACCTGTTATTACATCGTAGAAGGGACAATTCCGTCCTGAAAGCAAATCTACACTTACCTTTTTCCTCCATGTTACATGTTGATGTTATGGTCGGCGTTTGCATTTTTGGCATCCAGACGAGAAGCTCGTGGAATGGCGTAAATGGTTTATGCTCATTTAGTTTGTCTGAGATAGCCAACTAGCCCCCCCTCTCCATACGCCTGCTTAATTTCTTTATCAACGAGGCACACCTGTGCCCGGAATAGGATATAGTCGTTCATCATGTGGTCCCGCAAATTAACCTTCATTATGCGTTGAAGCCGTGTTGTTGCAACATGCAAAGTAAAGGAGACTTTTTGTGGAAACGCCGCTCCATTCTCAGCCCAAACATTTGAAAGGCTATCAGAAGTACGGAAGGAAGGGCTATCTACCTAGGAGTACCGACTTCTAAAATGTTCTGAAAATCCAACCCAGTTTTACGGTAATAAAAAAACAAAACAGAGTTGCGAAGGTTGCAGATGTCAGTTTCCTTTACGCTATAATACGCTTCCATGATGGGTGTTAACTTGTCGCACTCGTCCTTCACAGAACTTAGAAAGCGACGCTGACATCTGCTTTAGTACCATCAGTCACGTGTAGAATACTTTTTCCTGAAACTGGCATCTTCAGCTATACAGCCACTATAGCCCGAAACCACGATTGTGGCGCACTACTGACTTAGCTCCTGGTAGAGAAAGCTACCAGCTTAAACTCGATGTTTCGAACCCAAAAACCAGCGCCTGGCTTGGTCTGATAAAACGGCCCAAAAGTAGAACTTAAATACATTCTTGCCTGGGAATCATAGAAGCGTGGGAGGACGATACAAAACGTGGAAAAACCACGGAGAAGGAACATGACCTTTGCCGCAGCAGTGAACGTTGTTTCATATAAATCTGAAGAAACATTTCAAAGTGTCGTACTTCGCAAATCTGCGTTACTCTGCTGTTTAAGCTTTGTTATCCTCAGATAAGACAAAACAATATAACAGATTTTATACAACAGACAAATCTTGCCAAATATTAGCATTACCTGTGAGTGTCTCATCAAAATCTGGTTTGATCCTTAATTCGTTACATTCTTCCATTCGTTCTAAGTCCAAGGTCGAATGTACCATGCTCAGATAGTTTGAAAATTCGTCGCGCAACTTCTAAACAAAAAATTCACGTTAGAGTAACCACTATAGAATTACTGTAGAACGTACCTCCAACGGCTGACAAAAATTTGCATTTATCACACCATCGTTCATGTCGGCAAGGGCTGAACAGAACTTTGGAAGTTCCAAAAGTGACAAATAAACCTGATAAACCTCCTGAAATTACTAAAAGTAAATGGTGAAGGAATACTTTATGCAAGTCAACCTGCAGACCGGCTCGCCTAGTCGCGAAAAGCCGCAGAAGTTTCTGGAAATCAGGAAAATGCAAAAGATACTCATCATGAAAAAGTGGTCGAGCTTCGCCGTCATTAACGAAAGCCTCCACCATGTCCAATCTCTCAACTAAAACGTATCAACGATGTAAACACAAAAGCTCCCAATTTCATACGTATAAAAACTCTATTCAAAACTACAAAAATGTCGTAAAAATAGCAACATATACATTATACAAGATACTACATAAGTATATTAGTAGTATACAAGATACGATGTAAGTATAGTAGTAGCA